TTTAAATATATTTATAAAATTAATGAAAGAAAATGGGTTAATAGTATCGACTAAGAAAATAAAAATATTTCAAACAAAAATAAGGTTTTTAGGATATGAAATTTATCAAAATACTATAATACCTATACAAAGATCTCTAGAATTTGCAGATAAATTTCCAAATGAAATAAAAGATAAACAACAATTGCAAAGATTTTTAGGATGTGTAAATTATATAGCAGAATTTATTCCTAATATTAGAATAGTATGTGCACCACTATTTAAAAGGTTTAGAAAAAACCCGCCTTCTTGGGATGAGAATATGACTCAAGCTATAGTAAAAGTAAAAGAATTAGTAAAAACAATACCCTGTTTAGGAATCCCTGATCCACAAGCCTTTTTAATAATAGAAACTGATGCATCTGAATTAGGCTATGGGGGTGTATTAAAACAAAAAAATTTCAGAATTGTCTAAAGAACAAATTGTCAGATATCATTCTGGTATTTGGCACCCTTCACAACAAAAGTATTCTATAGTTAAAAAAGAAATTCTTTCAATAGTATTATGTGTTCAAAAATTTCAAGATGATGTTTTTAACAAAAAGTTTTTAATAAGAACTGATTGTAAAGCAGCGCCAAGTGTTTTAACAAAGGATGTTCAAAATTTAGTTTCAAAACATATTTTTGCTAGATGGCAATCTTTATTATCATGTTTTGATTTTGAAATAGAACATATAAAAGGAAAAAAATAATTTTTTACCAGATTTTTTGACAAGAGAGTTTTTACAGGCTTCAACATGAGCACGAAGCCCGTGAACAAAGATCAGTATGGTCCCCCATTGGGATCACAAAAAGGAAAAGAACAAAATAATTCCCCACTGGAATTACAAGGAGAAGTTATATCCAAAAGTCATTATTATCCCCCACTGGGATTGCAAAAAGAAGTCTCTACAATATCACTAAGACCACAAACCTCTCAAACCCATCCTAAAATCCAGTCTACTTTAGCAGAAATCCTAATAAAAATCTAATATAAACAACTGCTTTCCAGCCGATATACTATGAGTTTCTATATTTTCATATTCGTATTCTGGCATTGGTATCGTGGAGTCGTTTTTTATGCCTTTTAATTTTAGACTTCTATGATGTATTAGACTAGATTGGTCTATTGATCTTCTGGTTGTTACAAAAGTATTTTTACTAGATGTTCCTCTTAGTGAATTTATTCTTCTGATTGGGGCAAAGGATACTTCTACTGTTCCTGATTTATATTCAGTTATATTTTCAACTTCTACCGGTTCTGGGGGTTCTAGTTCTAATAGATCTTCTAGTCTCCAGCTAAGACCACTAGATATTTCAGTGTGTTTTAAAGTTTTTGGTATTACAACACTAACTTTTTCTGGATTTACTAATAACATAGTTGTTTCATCTTTTGGAGACATTAGTAAAGCTCCAGGTGCTAATTGAGTTTTCATTATTTTATAAGAAATTCTGTATATTATTGTTATAGGTATTGATCTTGGATTCCATACGTTTTCAGGGATTTTTATATCTAATAGTATATTATTTTCTGTATTATGAAGACTTTTAAGAGCTATAGAATAATTTGGGTAGTTATTTATGTATACTGGTCCATTATGCAAATTGGTTTCAAACATTGCTAATATTTGGTTTTCAAGTTTTACTAGTCTATTATCTCTTAAAGCAATGAACATAGGTGTATCTATGCCTTTTCTGAAGAGAGGTTTTATTGCTATTTGTATAGATCCTATATGAAGATATCTATATTCTTTTATATGTTCGGCTATTAAGGTTTTATTTATTAATGGTATTTTCTCATGGCTTGATAAGAGTTCTATTTCTTTATCTACTGTTTTTACTATATATTCGGATTTAAACATATCTTTCCAATTAGTTTTATAGATAGTTGATATTTCAAGTTTGGGAAGGGTCCATTTATTAAGTTGATTTTCTATTTCTGGAATTATTAGTTCATGATGTACTATGTTCATATTACTAGTTTCTTATTTTGTATTCTTATTTTCCTCAAACTTTTCTTTTCCTTTAGATAAAAGTTTTATTAATTTTGTCATCCTAAGGCCAAGGTCTAAGATGCTCGGGAATACCACAGGGTTTACTGCCACTTGCTGGACTTATTACCTAAATCGGCTTACCAACGCTCATCTACCCTCAAAGACTCTTAGGCAAGGTTTGATTGATAAAAAAAATTTATATTAGAAAAGTTAAGTTTTCAGAGAATAAAAATTCAGAGAGAAAATAAACAGTTATATGAACAAAGTACGTGACTTTGTTATTTCACAATAAATCATCAGGATTTGAACCTGACATAGGTGATCTGGACTGGCCTATTACACTTCAAGCAACCCAATCGGGAAGACTTAAATATCCAGTTTTCCAGCCGATATACTTTTAAACAGTTATTTCTGATGTGGAGGATCGGCCTAAACCGCAACCACAGTGCATACTTATTTCAAACAAACAGATATTATCAGCGCAAAATTGTTTTCTTTGGCTCTGATAAGAAAACAATTTTGCGCTGATAATATCTATTTGTTTGAAATAAGTATGCATTGTGGTTGCAGTTTAGGCCGATCCTCCACATCAAAAGTAACTGTTTAAAAGTATATCGGCTGAAAAACTGGATATTTAAGTCTTCCCGATTGGGTTGCTTGAAGCGTAATAGGCCAGTCCAGATCACCTATGTCAGGTTCAAATCCTGATGATTTATTGTGAAATAACAAAACCACGTACTTTGTTCATATAACTGTTTATTTTCTCTCTGAATTTTTATTCTCTGAAAACTTAACTTTTCTAATAGAATTTTTTTTTATTAATTAAACTTTGCCTAAGAGTCTTTGAGGGTAGATGAGCGTTGGTAAGCCGGTTTAGGTAATAAGTCCAGCAAGTGGCAGTAAACCCTGTGGTGTTCCCGAGCATCTTAGACATTGGCCTTCGGATGGCAAAATTAATAAAACTTTTATCTAAAGGAAAAGAAACGTTTGAGGAAAATAAGAATACAGAAGAAGAAATCAGTAATATGAACATAGTACATCATGAACTAATAATTCCAGAAATAGAAAATCAACTTAATAAATGGACCCTTCCCAAACTTGAAATATCAACTATCTATAAAATTAATGGGAAAGATATGTTTAAATCCGAATATATAGTAAAAATAGTAGATAAAGAAATAGAACTCTTATCAAGACATGAGAAAATACCATTAATAACTAAAACCTTAATAGCCGAACATATAAAAGAATATAGATATCTTCATATAGGATCTATACAAATAGCAATAAAACCTCTCTTCAGAAAAGGCATAGATACACCTATGTTCGTTGCTTTAAGAGATAATAGACTAGTAAAACTTGAAAACCAAATATTAGCAATGTTTGAAACCAATTTGCATAATGGACCAGTATACATAAATA